TATCTGAAAGCACAAATAACCAATATCAGGAATAAAAAAGGAAATACACACCAGATCTTACATAACATTAAAAGTTGTAAGAGAATATTGTTTATTTAAAGTTGTAAGAGAATATTGTGAACAAGTTACAGATTTATCCCAATAAATTTGAAAGTTTAACTGAAATAATCGAATTCTTATAAAAATTCAACTGATCAAAGTTAACACTAGAATAAAAAATCTGAATAATCTTATAACTTAAAAAAAATTGCAATCTATTTAAAAACCTTGCCACAATAGTATGTCCATGAAACATTTAAGGAAGAAATAACACCGGTGTTTGACTCTTATAAAGAATGGGAAAATATATTAGTTTTATGAGTTCTACATGAACATTAGAAGAAAGGGAACTAGGTCATCTAACTTTTGAAATGAATGTAGATAATAAAAATGTTAGTGAGTTGAATCTAATAACATTTTAAAAGTGTATATAATTCATTGTGACTAAGTTGAGTTTATTCCAGAAATACAAAGATTAGTTTAACATCTGAGGGGCCTCAGGTTGTGGCTTATGCCTGTAATCCCAGTACTTCGGGAGGCCAAGGTGGAAGGATTACTTGAGGCTAGGGGGTTCAGATCAGCTTAGGCAATATAGTGAGTCACACAATTTTTTTTTTTTTTTTGAGGCGGAGTTTTGCTCTTGTTGCCCAGGCTGGAGTGCAATGGCACGATGTCGGCTCACTGCAACCTCTGCCTCCCAGGTTCAGACGATTCTTCTGCCTCAGCCTCCCGAGTAGCTGGGATTACAGGCATGTGCCACTGTGCCCGGCTACTTTTATATTTGTAGTAGAGTTGGGGTTTCTCCGTGTTGGTCAGGCTGGTCTTGAACTCCTGACCTCAGGTGTCCACCTGTATCAGCTTCCCAAAGCGCTGGGATTACAGGCGTGAGCCACCGCGCAGGCTAAATCCCACTATTTATAAAAAATTTTAAAAGTTAACCAGCTGTGGTGTTGCATGCCTGTAGTCCTAATTACTCAAGGAGGTTGAGGCAGGAGGATTGTTTGAACCCAGGAGTTTGAGGCTCCAGTGAGCTCTGACTGCACCCCAGGCGTGGGCGATAGAGTGAGATCCTACCTCAAAAAAAAAAAAAACAAATTAGAAAAAAAATGTAAATTGGTCATTGTAATTCACTGCATTAACCAAAATCAAGGGGAAAAAAAAATCATATCACAGCAATACATGCAGAAAAACCATTTGTTAAAATTCAAAATCAATTCATAATAAAAGGGTTATCAAGTAATAGATGAGAACTTTCTTCTGATAAAGCATATCTATTTGCAGAATAGCTATAACAGTATAATAGTAAATGTTGAAATTTTTTCTTAATTTAGGAAAGAGTCGAGGATATCTGCCACCAATATGTTACTGGAGTCCTTTTTTTTCTTTTCTTTTTTTTTTTT